GGGGGGGCCCGGGCCCCCCCGTACGCGCCGCCCCTGCTGTATCTCCGGATTGCAGGTGTATACGAGGAAACGATTTCGCACGATGCTAGGCGAATGTACTGTCTAGTGAGTAGTGACTAGTGTGTACGATTTGAGCTCAAGTTGGTTGAGTTACGCGTAGTAGATCGTAGATATTCTAAGGCTAGTAAATAACGAATTTCCCTTGTTTATTGAAGTCACACTCCTTCCCTATTAGTATTATCTACTTCTGGTGTACATGCAACTGACTGTTCATCGTTCAAGTTGTAGGAATATGAGTATGAGTCTATGACTATGACTATGAGTATGACTATGAATTTATTGAATATGATCCAACCTTTTTCCTTGCAAAGTCTTAATATTATTTAGAAATTCTTGCTGAGTCTGTGACGAAACTGTTAGTGTACAATCACCTGCAGCCCTTGCCGCAAGCATTAGCACAAAATATGCATAAAACTGTTTCATTGCGGTTATGTGTACACTACAGTCTACAGTTCTGAGTTCATAAAAAAGATTATTTACGTATCTTGTCCACCATGACAGACTGGCATGTGACCAGAACTGGACCTCCTAAACACCGAAATGACTTAAAATGACTCGAAATGGCTCGAAATGCACCTACTGAACTAGATCTCGAAATGACTTAAAATAAAATAAATTAAATTTTAAAAACTCAAATTGTTATTTCGTGATATTTCGAAATATATCTCTGACTCATTTCGAGTAATGTTGATAGTTGAATAGGTGTCATTTCCAGATATTTTGTTTTCGAGTCATTCCGGTGTTTAGGAGGATCGACCAAAAATAGTAGACTGATGCTCGCTCCCACCTCTCGGCATAAGTTAGTTACTCGCTGGGAGCAACTCCCAGCCAGTAGTGGCCAGTAGGCCGAGAGGTGGGAGCGAGCACCAGTCTACCAGAAACAGTTGCGTTACTTGCGTACTCGAGTCGATGCTCGAGCGAAGTTAAATATTTAAATGTAAATTTATGTCAACATGCTCGATATTATTGGATGTCTACAATGATATCTTTTTACAAGAATAAGTTTTCATATATAACTATTAAAACGCGTAGACATGCTCTGGACAAGCGATTGCAAATTTGATGACGTCATCAAGATGTCAGCCATCATGACAAAGAAGTTAATTTTAACGTTTTAGGGAAAAACATTGACAGTTTCAGGGAAAATCGACAGTAAAGTCTAAATTATATAAGCAGCCCAGTATCAATGAGTGAGCTATCGCCTGAAGAGGTATAATAGTTAATCGGATTGACATTTGAGCGTGTTTCATTCGTCATATTTTTCAATTGAAGTCTAAAATTCTGCGTATGTGCAAGTTGTACACACTACACAGTCACAGTGACACTACAAATTACAATTTTAAGGTATAACTATGCCAATATGTACAGAAGGTACAGTGAGTAACTAATCAGTAAAACGACGGAATTATATTAGTGTGGTAAACCATCGATAATCTATACAGTAAATATTTCTTTCCTATTACAATGAAAAGAAATGTACGGTAAAACTTCTGAATTTAGTGAGTTTTAATTTAAGTTTTTGTTATAAAACCTTGGCTTGGGAAAAATGTAAATGATGCAGACTTAACAACTGTGTAAGGTTACAGTGTTTATTGGAAGGAAATCGGCGCCCTAAGCGATCAGATGAAAATCTGGACTTGTAAAATGCTGGCCTTATTTAGTCGTTGATTGAGTTAGCTTTAGCTGTACCATTGTTACTGGTACAGTTAGCCCCTATAGTGGGAGCGAAGTAGTAGATGTATAGTAAGTATTAATAACCATAATATGATATATTATAGTTTAATGTTGGTGTATTGGTATTACATATTACGGTTGGGTTATAATATTGTAGAGTTGTACGTGCTAACTGTGTTTACTGTTATCTTTTTAGTGCTGTACATTGTAAACTACGGTATGTAATTTAATGTTTAATGCCCGACACACACGGGAATTATTTTACTCAAGTAAAATGACGCGTGAGTTATTTTACTCACGTGTGCGGTAGATTTTCGTTGAGTAATTTGACGCATGCGTCATTTTACTCACGTGTGCGGCGGATTTTTGTTGAGTAATTTGACTCGTGCGTCATTTTACTTGAGTAAAATAACTCACGTGTGCGCCGGGCTTAAGAAACAGATATGTACATGAGACACTTAGACAGGAGCTATATGTACATTTTTAATACTAATTTGTGAAATATTGAATGCCTCCACAGATTAGGCAGCGGCGATTGGCTAGGTTAGGGGGTTTGCAACCTAGTACAAGCCAGTCACCACCTTCCACAGCCTCGACATCAACCCAGCCAACTGAATCACTATGTCAGACAGCTGATAATGTGTTAGCAGCAGTTGTGCAAGATGAACAATCTGTCAGAGAAGCTCATTTAAGACCTGCTGGCATATTAGAAGATTCCTCACTAGAACAAGAAATTGAGATGTCATCAGTTGATGATAGTGCTATTTCTGGTAAGTAAAGCTTCAGGGAAGGCTAAATGCCAGAATGTACACCAAGGCGCATGAGCAAAAATTAACACACGTTTTTACAGTAACAGTTGGATTAATATATGTGCTGATTAAAATGGTAACAATGAGACAGTCCTATGGTAGATATTATGTATGCCAACAAATATTGTAATGTTTACCATATTTGAAGTAAAACCTGATTTTAGTTCATGTTCTTATATTTAACTGGTTGCGCTTTTCCGACAGAAAAGTGTGAGGAAATGTCTGTAGACAGTGCTGCACAGAATGCCGAACCCCAAGCAAGGGCTGAAAGCTGTGAGAAAAGGTTTGTGCCATCTGTTCTTTATATACTTCTAATTTTAGGATATAATACTTGATTTGAAGTTGTAGGCAATTCAGAAAACATTTTTAAACATAGTACGTTTGAAGGTAAGAAGCAATGAATGGTAAAATCATCCATTATGCACATGGCTATGTGCATAATGGATGATTTTACCATTCATTGCTTTTGATTTAAGGTACAAACTTCCAATATGTTATGTAGTTGTAGATCTCTTATTCATGGATCTCCAATCACTTGCACTTACTGTACTGTTATTTTTACGTGTTATAACCCTGTTGGCATGTTCTTCAGTGTATCATCACAGTTGGATGTTGACTCAGGAATAGAAACAATGGAGGTAGATGATGTAGAGAAGCAAGGAACGCCAAAGAGACATCGGGTAGGAATGTGCATTTATAAGCAACAACCGTTATAATAAGAATTTTTATGATTATTGTGGTTATACCTCAACAAAGCAAATACCCAAATGTTAACATTTTTGGATAGTTTTGGAGAATTCCAGGTCCAAGTCAGGCAAACTAACTCAAGATAGCACGCTGTTCATACTTTCACTCTCACAGTTCATTGCACCCTTATTTTCATTGTTTGTTATGTATGTGAGCCAAACAGTAGGCAGTCTTAGGTGAAGTGTGGAGCAACCATTCCACTTTAGGCCATGTAACATGGCACAGCCACGAATGGGGATGATGCATGCATGCTCCCTTCGGAGCTAAAGTGTTTAAGTCAAGGATGCATTTGAAAAATGTATGAACGAGCAATAGACTCATTGCCTGTGATGCTGCTCATCACCATTAATTGTTGTAATTTGCACCTTGTTATGCTTCCTTGTTCTGATACAGGAGACGAGCACATCATCGGATATTGGTGATGATCAGGTTTTGATAACCCTGGCGCGAATATTCAGGGTGAGCTGGACAGACACTGGCAGCCCTGATACACTGTGCGTGCTGCAGCTTGCTGAATCATTGGCTGAAAATGCCAATGAAGGTATGTATATTTCATCACTGATTGAGAATGTGGCTTCATTTTGCATACTGGCATCTTATCAGATGTTGGTGCAGTGCTATATGATATGAATTATTATAGCCTGTACATCTTATATTTAATGCAGTTGTGTTTTTATTTCAGGGTGTGAAGTGAACCTTTATTACCTGGTAGTCATATGGACTACTAGATTTTGTAATCTGGTAGTCCGTGAGCAATTCTGGTAGTTGAAATATTTTTTGGATAGAGGTTCAATTTGACTGTAATATTCTGGTTAAAAACATTTACAAGTTATTGCCATTCATAAAAACCTCTTTCTTTATTGATTAAAAATCCTGATCTTCTGCGATAGCTAGTTTTGCAAAAACGAGTGGTGTTCATATCTACATGAAAGCACAGCAACAAACATGGCTGCGCCCATGTCAATCAATTACTCAACGTGCTTGATATAGAATATCAGTTTTAAGTCATAACTGACAATTAATGGGCGTTAATCTATTTAATTTGAGGTTATATCACAACTTACAGGAAAGATAAATAAATTAAATCATTAGTTTATTCGTCCTTGTCAGTCAAAAATGAATAGAGCCACGTTAAGTTAGCTAGTCCATTGGACTAGTTCTTACTGTAATCTACTCGTCCGTGTGTAAATCTAGTAGTTTTTGACTACCGGACTACCGTTCATTTCGCACCCTGTTATTTGCATCTTTTTGTTGGAAAAAATACTTAAGACACTTTACATCATTGTACAACGTCTGTGAATGTTAATTTTTATGCTCTTGATCCCTTGCAGATTATAAGGATCGTATCAACCAGTTTGTGATGGAAGTGATGATATTGCTGTCAATAAGTGACAGTAATCCCCTGGCTGCACTGAAGCCACCAGAAGTCCACAATGCTATTGTATATGGGACAAGTCCTGTCAAGAGGTGAGCATACTCACATTGATAGGAATTTGCGTACAGTTTCTTATCTGGAATGTAAACATCGGATTGGATAGTTTTAATGAAGACATTTCAATTTTTGGGTGAATCCAGTAAATGTGAATTATTATAAAATTATCATCTTTCCATTAAATCCAAAAAATAAATAAACATTGAGAAATCAGGTCGCACCTGTTAACGGACATATTACTGATTACTCCAGCATAAAAATTACTACTCTATACACTTGGTGTTACACAAAAAGTACCTGTAAGTATCAGAATGGTCGAGAAGTCATGCGAATGGTTGGAAAAATGTGAAATAACACTATTTTGTGCTTTTGTGCAATGTTTTTGTGCAGGATGTAAAACTGTATAAAAACAAAGGTATGATATAATGACTTGTTTTTGTTTCAGTTATCTACCTCTTGTTAGCCCCGGTGATAATGTCAAGACTAGTGGAAATGATGATAGTGTGTCTAAATTACCAACTCCTGAAGCTACAGATACCCAGATGATTCGTTATTTAACGGCGTGCTATGACAGGGTAGCACTGGAGGAGAGAATGGCACCACGGGTAATCGATGCCTGGCGTGGTTATTCGTTTTGTAGCTCATTTCAATTGAACTCGGACATGCTAGTGGCTTGTTGATCTTTTTAATGCACTGTAGTTTCTTGAATTGTGTGAGAGAATCTCACATTAATTAAAGGCATACTAGGCCCATTGATTATGCAATGTTGACGAATGCTAGAGTAACTGGCACCTTGTGTAGTTAATAAGTACATAACCTTACATCCAAACACGTATTAGTTTGTCCAATATCACTGCTGGTTACTAAGAAATGTCTAATTGAAATCAGTTGTTTACAGTTTCAAACTGCTGCCGGCGAAGCGGGTGTGATACATATTTATAGTGCCCCAGAGATTTTCGCACGCATGCTCGACCGTACGCAATGCTATCATCAGTGATTTCGTAAACACAGACGCTCGTGATAAGGAACTTTTTGTCAGGGCTGTGCATGTGCGTCCGTGATTAGTACGTGTGTTTTACTCCATTTCCATATTTAGTCCATGGCGGTGGTTACACCGCTGACACCTCCATTTCATCTGGCGTCCAAAACATACGGGCCGCACAAATGTTTACGTGCATCGCTTGACCTCCTGGATGACATTTACGGCACGTAAATGAATATCAACAACCGATTTCAAGTCTTGCTTGTAATGTAACCAGCAGTGATCGATATTGGACAAACTAATACGCGTTTGGCTATAAGGTGCCAGTTACTCTAGCATTCGTCGACATTGCATAATCAACGGGCCTAGTATGCCTTTAAATCAAATTGAAGTTTTTCATGCAAAAAAAAAAATTATTAAAACTTTCTTATGCATCTAGAATTCTCGGTTTTCTCTTTTAGCGCACGAGTGTGCCACCACTTAGTGATATATTCAACGAGGTGAGAGGGCAGTGTGTGCGACACACCATTATGGTACTTCAAGGACTATACTGTGGAGAAGAGTGAGTATCTCTGCAGAATGTTATCTTTTTGTCTTTATCATCAAATAGTTCAAAAAAATACTGTTTGTGTGGGAGCAGGTGTTACACGACGCCCTAGCAGCAGTCGGCTTTGGTGTGTTGAAATGCAGCGATGAGGTTAACAGGGATGAGATTCTTCCGCGGATCCGCGGAAATCCGCGGATTTGACAGTCCCAGGGGCCGATTTTGTGAAACGTCTAAATTCGTTGAGAAAATTGGGAGGGGGGTAACAATGTAAACATTTAAATTATATACCCTCAACTGCTCAACATCACCTGACTGTAGAGTGTAGACAGTAGACTGACAGCGCAGTATACAGTGTATCTGTTTTTGTGTACCAGAAAAGAAAATCCTCGTTCACAGGCTGCAGTAGAGAGGCAGACATTTGAGGTAGCTGATCACGTAACGACCATGCCTGGCCTGGGGGCCGGGTTTACATGTTGCTGTGTCCATGTTGTGTGCATGACTATGCACTGATTGTTCCATTCGCATTGTGTTTTTTTCATTCAAATCTCGTTGCAGCAAGGCAGCTTATGTCTGAGTAAAACAATGCAAGCGACGGGTGGAAACAGAAAAATATCAAAGTTTCTACTACAAAAATCAAATTCTCTACAATAAAAAGAATCAAAAGTAATCAGTAGTAATCAAAAGTAATCTACAATAAAAAGTGTCTACTACTAGACACTTAATAAAAAAAATTGCCCTATTTTCAGGCCCCTGATTTCCTATTCATAGTTCGTTTGTTCCTTTTGACAACTTGAAAAGGTGATTCAAGAATCTCTTATAATGTGTTCAGAATAGCTTAGAATGCACCAAATTGCACCATTCTTTTAAAAAAATTGTGTAAAAAAATGCACCTACGGTCCTCGCATTGCTCGCTCCTCTGTTTGTTAATTTCAATTTCAGCTGAAAATTAAATTCTCCAATCTCATCCCTGGGTTAAGTAACATACCTGGATTAGGTTAAGTAACATACCTGGGTTAGGTTAAGTAACATACCTGGGTTAAGTTAAGTAACATAGATGGATTAGGTTAAGTAACATACCTGGATTAGGTTAAGTAACATACCTGGGTTAGGTTAAGTAACATACCTGGGTTAAGTTAAGTAACATAGATGGATTAGGTTAAGTAACATACCTGGATTAGGTTAAGTAACATACCTGGGTTAGGTTAAGTAACATACCTGGATTAGGTTAAGTAACATACCTGGATTAGCTACATACCTGTAGCAGCTGATGGTGGTGCTGTGTTTCAGAGTGAGTGCGACGGCAGGATGCTCTGCATTGCTGCCACTCGTGCAGGCCTCCAGCCTTCCTCGTGGCTTCCTCCAGGAGCTCATCTATGCTACACACCACGACAGGGAGCTGTTCAGGATGGTGAGTACCTGAAGAGTTTGCTGCTGAGAGCTGAGCTGCTGAGTGAGTGGCTAGTGGGTGGTGGTCAGTGGTGGTGGACAGTGGTGATTGATGGTGAGTGGCTGGTGGATGTTGGTGGTGTGGATGGTGGATGGTAGCAGTTGGGTGGTGGAAGGAGGTGGTGCCTCTGTACATGTAGCGCAGATTAACATAGGTAGTATTGTTAAAGTTGATTTAGAGTTGTGATGTTGAGTCATCGCTCGTGTTGTGAGGTGGTCGGTGCATCTGTTGTCTGTGCAATAAGCAATCATTTCTCTCAATTGAATAATCATTGCATGCTTACTTTTGCTAAGTTCTCTTAAGGTATGGTAGGTGTTCATGTTTTCGCGTGTGATGAGCAAAATTTCTGGCACGCATTGTCTGTCGGGCAACATCGAGTTTACCACTGTTGGAAATTCACTTTCAGATATTTCTGCCAGTTCTGCTTGGTCTGCAGCAAAAGATTCGTCAGTGTTCTCTAGATACAGACCAGTTTCGGCAACCACTCACAATACTTTCTGAGCTGTGTGAGATCCAGTATGCACCTACCAAAATTAGGCCAATTTGCAATCTGGTAAGATTGACGGTCTAGTCTTCCAATTAAAATTACAGGATAAAATTCTTTCTGAGACTCTTTTTAGTTAGAATTTTTTCAACGTATAAAGTAAGAACTATCGTCACAACGTATACTCTAGAACTTGTCATCTGCTGTTAAATAGGAAGTGAATGATTAATCGTTCTTGCAAGTAATATTGGATGTTCACAAGTAGGATCCTTGGTGATTCATGATTGACAATCTGTTATCTGTCATAGTACTCACATTAAACACTGTACATCCTGCCTATATAACTATTAGCTATTGTTACAGATTGTGTCAGAACGAGCACTGTTTGTGCCTGATAAGATCACGCAGGCACATGGCAGAGAACTACAGAAGCTCTCGTTTTTGGGCCCATTCCTTGATATTTCGGTCTATGCAGAGGACACGGTAGGTAGCCTTCTCACACGTTATCATGGAATACATGGTGTGCGGAACCATCTTTTCAAACATGTTTTTTCTGTTTGCCCACCTAAACATACCTGGTGAAATTAAAGGAAAAAATAAGCCTTTGTGGTGAAATTATAGGAAAAAATATTGAAATAACGTGATTGAGATGTGGTAATCCTGATACGTGATTAAATTTGTTGTGACTTTTCAGACCAAAGTGGTTGACAAATTCTTCTCGGGGAATACATTAACCGGTGAAAACACACAGCTAGCAAACCAAAGCCTGCGACATGCGTTGGAATTTGCCAGGGTTAGCGATTTTCCTCTATTTTCGTATTAACCTGCAATAGCGTCATCATTTTCATAATGAAATTGAACTGTTAACCAACAATACGACCTTGGTCACGACGTTCAGCTCTCGTTTCGTTGCATCAAGAATTTTTTTTGTTCTTGTTTGCAGCAAGAGCAGTTCAAGATAATGCACGCGCTGCTAGTGAATGGGGAGACCCGTGACGCGACACTCGATTATCTTGCCCTTGTCCTGAAGGTCAATCAAAAGAAAGCTGGTCTGCAGGTATGGTGGTAATCGTGTCGTGTCGATGCACAGTCGGTATAGATCAGCAGGTTGTCGTATCTCCATGTTGGGAGACAGACACCTGATGCTGGAATGTAAAGCTTCGCGACATCTCGTCTCGTCTGACAATCGTCTGACAGTCGTTGACAGATGTGTGCTCGTCTGTGCCCGACACCATAAGAGAATGCTAATTGCAGTTGGTTTCAGTTCATTAGCCCATGCGTGTAGTGCAGCAGTCAGTGCGGTCAGCCAACAATCACCGCTGCACCCTGTAGAGGCTCATTTTAGTCTGCCACAAGCATTGCAGGGTGTGATTAAGGACTGTGACGAGCGCATGTTCTTTGTACATGTTAGCAGCCATATTCGTTGGCAGGTGGATGAGCACGTCGTTTCTGGAGATGGATTCTTGCAGAATGTGTTGTGTGTACTGCAGCTACTATCTGTGAAGGTCAAGCTAGATAAGGTTGGTAAATCATCTATTTTGATTAATTAACTAAGAAATTAATTAATTGAAGTAGCTATGAACGGTGGACCTTCCTAGCAAGGGGAAACTGAACTTGCCGTGCAAACTTGAACAACGTGAATAAACGCGCAACGTTGTTGTCTTATCGGACAGCATGAAGTTTTGCTAGGAATGGTCGTGGAAGCTAACGTGTTCTTCGTACGCGGACGGCGCGGCACCGCTGGTAGGTGCGAAGGCGCCACGCACGACCACCACCCCCGTGAGTCGCATATACCATGTCTTTATTTCTTGACACCTCGTCAGGTCGACCCTTTCTACCCGAATCATCCGCACACGGACGTCGACATCAAGCAGGAGACGAGGATGAAGAGCAGCTCTCAGGAGGTGGTGACGTGGATCAAGCAGCTAGGTAGATAGCTGGTACAGTCACATGTACCGTGAAGGAGTGACCCCTCCCCCGCTCCCTAGTTGTCTTGTGATTGGTTGTGTTTGGAGTGGCAATGGATGGTGACTACAGAAACTTGGTCGGGTTACACAAATATGAGCGTATGCATGCTTACGAGTCTATACGTCTGTTCGATGACATTTCATAGTTTGATGTGACAAGTACACGAGTTTGTACTGTCAACTATCGGTGGTACAGTACCAAGTCACAGTCTGTGGGCAGCGTTGGTACTCCAGGCATGTAGTTACATCAGTGGTTCACACACTGCGTAGACAGTCACGTAGGTAGAGTCACACGGCCACGCCACGATATCGTTTCCCACGTGACTCCTGTCTGACCATCTTACTGAGTTAAACTGTCGCTCGTCAGCGTAAGTCCGGCGTCATATGTGCATGATTGCTGGATACGTTCGTTCTAGAGCCGAGCTCAACGCACAAGTGGCAGGAGCCGAAGTTTCCAACAAAGTGCTACTTCCTAACGCTGCACTGCCACCACCTGTCGCTGCTGCCGCTGTGCCGCAGGTACCGCCGCCGCCTGCGCGCTATCCGCGAGCTCAACCACATGGTCGAGGAGATGCAGAACGCCGAAGCACAGTGGCGCCACGTGCCGCAGATAGCTGCGAGAAACCGAGAGCTGTTGAAGAGGTGGAAATCTCAAGGCAAAGTAAGGGCACTGTTAATTTTGTTGTAGTGCCGTTTTCGGATCATTAATATAGCAGCTGGCCCGAATTATGCCTGCTAATCAAGAATGTGTGATTGTAGCTGACCCTGACTGGTTTTTATTTCTGTGTCGGTGTAGTTGCATCAGAATGCAGCAAAGCTACTTGGAAAGCACATTGTTAGGATTGACGGCTATCCCCGTGGCATTGAACTAATTCTATTCATGACATCACTGTAGCTGAGCCAATGTGTTTGTATTCACAGAGACTAGTAAAGAGTAAAGTGTGCAGTGACACTGCACTTATGGATGCCACTTTCCTTCGCCGGTGCCTGCACTTCTACAACTCGCTGTTTACATTGCTCATTCGGCTGGTGTCACCCAGAGAAGGGTAAGTGTCCATTGGCTGGGAAAACATTGGGGATGATGAACGAGTGAAAGCACCTGATTCCTATGTGTTGAACTTGGAATAGATATATATGTTACCTTGTGCTATCCATAAATCTATGACCTTTCACTAGAGCCGTAATGCCTTGGAATAATTGTTGTCTTTGAAATTGGCTAGGTACATTATCAACTCTTGATGCAGTAAGTTTATCACAGTTGTCAAGTCCGTTGCTAAATTTATACATAACGCATTGTAGATATTTACCATGTCTATTCTATATGTTGGTACACATTTTATTAGTAATTATTAACATTCATGTTACAAGTAAGTATATGGGTTAAATTATTTTCGTTTCTCTGTCCTTGGGTAAACAATGTAGAAGATCCTTATGTAAAACTCAAATACAATGTTGAATGATTTCAGGTCTCTTACACCACTGCCAAGTGAGGTACCGATGGTGTGGGCTGCTCTGCCTGAATACTTTGTGGATGATTTAGCTGATTTTATTCTTTTCATTCTTCAGTAAGTGTTTTATTATCCAGTGTTTTGTAATTTAATCTTATCATTTAGATTTTAGAGTGCATTGTGTTGTTATGACTAAATGATGACCTTGGAATCAACAAATCGGCGATTTTAGATATGAGACTTATTAATGTAAGAGTTCATCAGGTTTTCAGTTGTCTCGTACATCAGTAATTTTGGTGTACACACTAATTTCAATTGTGATAATTTCCAAGTTTTGCATTTTTAACTAGTTTATCTATCTCTACTAACTCTAGTTATCTATCTATACTAACTATGTCATCGCTTAAAAAATTGAGGATGTAGGCCTATTTAGCACTAGTAATTATAATTATTTTTTCTTGTGAGACACATTTTGAAAACCGCAGAAAAATTTTACTTCTCGTAGAACGTCATGATGTAGCCATGTTAGACATGGTGCTGCCCCCTGGAGGTATGAATCCTTCTTGTAGAAGAGTGACATAGCGATGTTAGACACGGTGCTGCCCCCTGTAGGTATCAACCTTTCTCGTAGAAGAGTGAGGTAGCCATGTTGTAACTATGACACGGTGCTGCCCCCTGCAGGTATCAACCTGAGGTGTTGACAGACGTCAGTCCCGACCTTGTCACCTTCCTCGTGCTGTTCGTCTGCAACAGCAACTACTTTGCGAATCCGTACCTCGTCGCGAAGCTCGTCGAGATCATGTTCGTCGTGAACCCGGCCGTTCAGCCGAAGGCAGAGAAGATCCACGAGCTGATCGTCGGTCATCCGCTTAGCGACGGCCTTGCGCCCGCGCTCATGAAGTTCTACACAGGTGTGGTAGCGCCGCCCTGCGATGCCACCCGCCTCCCGCTCTCAACCCTGCGATGCCACCCGCCTCCCGCTCTCAACCCTGCGATGCCACCCGCGTGCCTGCAACCAGTTATTACGCAATACATCACTGTTAGTAAACGAGGGGTGTGCCATTAGTTCACGTGCCTGCAACGCACTTAGTTTACGTCATACATCAACTGTTATAACTAAGTGTTTGCCATTATTCACGTCGTGCAACCATTAGTTTAATGCACATCGACTGTTGTGAACACAGTGTTGACCATTAGTTAGGTGTGCCTTGCAACCATTAGTTACGCATACATCATATGTTAGTAACGAAGTGTTGCCATTAGTTACGTGCCTGGCAACCATTAGTACATGCACATCACTGTTAGTACACAAGTGTTGCCAATTAGTTACGTGCCTGCAACGCATATTACGCATACCATCACTGTTACGTAACGAGTGTTGTCATTAGCGACGGCCTGCAACCATAGTTAACGCATACATCACTGTTAGTACGAGATGTTGCTATAGTTACGGCCTCAATCATTAGTAGCATACACATCACTTGTAGTAACGAGTGTGCATTAGTTACGTGCCTTCAACCATTAGTTTACGGCATACATGCAACTGTAGTCAATCGATTGTTGCTATTAGTACATGGCTGCTGCAACCATGTAGTTAACCATCACATCATGTTAAGTAACAAGTGTTGGCGCATTAGTTACGTGCCTTCAAACCCATAGTACGCAGTACATCACTGGTTAGTATAACTGAGTGTGGCCATTAGTTACGTGCCTGCAACCATTAGTTACGGCGGCATACATCACTGTTAGTAACGAGAGTGCTATTAGTTACTGCCTGCAACATTAGTTACGCAATACATCAGCTGTTAGTAACGAGTGTTGCCATTTAGTTACGTGCCGGCAACCATATTAACGCATACATCAACTGTAGTAACAGAGAGTTGCTATTAGTTACGTGCCTGCAACCATTAGTTACGCATACATCACTGTTAGTAACAAGTGTTGCCATTAGTTACGTGCCTGCAACCATTAGTTACGCATACATCACTGTTAGTAACAAGTGTTGCCATTAGTTACGTGCCTGCAACCATTAGTTACGCATACATCACTGTTAGTACGAGTGTTGTCATTAGTTCACGTGCCTGCAACCATTAGTTACGCATACATCCCTGTTAGTAACGAGTGTTGCCATTAGTTACGTGGCCTGCAACCATTAGTTACGCATACATCACTGTATAAGACGTGTTGCAATTAGTTACGTGCCTGCAACCATAGTTACGCATACATCACTGTTAGTAACAAGTGTTGCTATTAGTTACGTGCCTGCAACCATTAGTTACGCATACATCACTGTTAGTAACAAGTGTTGCCATTAGTTACGTTGCCTGCAACCATTAGTTTTACATGCACATCGTCACTTATTACGCACGTGTACCCATTAGTTATGCAGTTCAGCCACCTTTAGCTATGCAGATCGCCATTAGCTAAATGTACCGCCAGTGCCTGGCCCACTCCCAAAGCACATGAGACTAGCACTGACTATCACAGCTGACACTTTCTGAGAATATATTGAATAACTAGAAAGGACAGTTGTCGCCACATACATGTACCCCCGGAATCTAGTATGAATTAAAATATCTCTGTAAGGACGTAAAAGGTAGGGTAAAGTTAAATAAGTCAACAAAGACAAAGGTTTGTTACACAACTCATGCTGCCTGAGGATGTGCAAGTATGAAAAATGTTGCCTTAGGGTTTTTGGTAGCGCGACACATCCTTCACCGGTCCCAAGCATGTGTAAATATAGAAGTTTGCTCGCA